GGAAAACCCATCTGGATAACAGCAGACTGACTGCTTGTAAAATGTACGACAGGTCTGGACCACACGTGAATTTTGTTAGTTTCTGAAAAAAAAAACCTAGAATACGAAAACATTGGTGAATGCCACAAATTCTCCTAAATCACTCGTACGCACAACTTAAGAACAAATCTGTGCGTACGAACGGTTTTTGCATGAGGCCCATTGTTCTCAAATAAAGATGGAGGTTCTCAGGAGGTTATATTGATGGATATATTTTAATTGAATATGTCATTAATTAAATAATTAAAAATAATTATATAATACATATACAATTAGGCAGTGCAGTGTCACAGTTGAAGAAGAAGATTGCCAGAATAACTTTCTGGGTTGTGTTTAAAACTGTAAAAACAGCTTTAAAATGATGACTGTCACAAAACATTCAAAAACAATTGTGCAATAGATCTGTTAAGTAAAACAGCCAGGGTCTCGATCAGTGGGACAACACCCAGGTCGATCATTTAATTCTTTTCCTCCACAGGCAAAACAGTAGTGAGCAGGATTCCAGCCGAACAGCAGGCCGAGAGGCTCATCAATGAGCTAAAACAAATTAAGCAAATGATAAATTAAGCCCAGCTTCTGACAAGAATAGAGTCCTTGATGTCTATGCCTACTTGTTAACTGGTAGGTTACAGCATGGCCGTGTGAACAAGGCAGTAAAAATAAAGCTGGAAACTGTAACAGAGTACTACATGAGCATTTGTTTATATCACGTAAGTGGTAGCATAACTAAGCTAACCCTTACCTTCACGCCCTAAATTGAACACCCACCCTGGCCAGGGCGGATCAACCAGGAAACAATGGAGAGGAGGCTAAACTGACTGTCAACCAGGGCTTTCAAGTTTTGACCTAAGCTTGGAGTGAGATTTCGAGCTGCTGAACACTGTTGCCAAAAGTTGTTTTTGTCATCCTAAAAGCTGCTGAATAATGTCATCGTCCAATTTGCATATTTGGACTTTTGCCAACAATTGTGATCAGGGCTGTATGGTACTTAATCAAGGAGAAAACAGTGTGTAAAATCACTGGTGGGAGGTCTGGGGGTCCTCCCCTAGAAAATTTTGAAGGAATTAAATGCCATTTCCTGCATTCTGGTGTATTTTAACAGGCTGTTAAACAGACTTTTACAAAAATGAACACTTGGTGAGTGGTCTATAGGTCAAGTGAAAGGGGTTCTCAAACATTTTGGGTCTGGAGACAACAGGGAC